CCCCCAAATTACCTTTATGAACCAGGTACAGTGGCATACACCTGTAGTCCCAGCAAAGTGAGGCAGGAGGATCACTTGAGCCCCGGAGTTCATCCAGCCTGAGCAACATAGGCAAACTCTGTTACCTTATTACACATTAAGTAATAAAATTATTCTTTTTTATTGGATCTTTCTTATGTATTGATCTATTTCTTTTGCTGCCAACCCCACAATTTATGGCTTTAAAATGTGATCTGACTTTTGGTAAGGTACATCCTCTTTCATTATCCATTCAATGATCTTTTAAAAAAATTTGTTCTCCATGTATATTTTAGATGATGAAAATTAGGAACTGTTTATGTTTCTTTGTTAATTAAGCCCCAAATTGTGATTTATAATCACAAGAACACTGACTTAAGATCATGGAGAATATAAACAAGAAAATGACAAAATTCCTGCTCTCAGATGGTGATCAAATGTATGGAATAGATTTATAATCTAATTCTCAGAACAGGAAAAGGAGGCAAGATAGAACATATACTGATCACCTTATTATACAGTTAAATATTTATTAGGTCTTAAAACTGAGCACACATACAAGAAGTAGCATGGCCTTTCTTAGGTGTTTAATGAGGTTGTTGCAGTAGTTTTACAGGCAACCAGTTCCCTTAGGCTATCTTAAAGTTGTAAAGAATAGAACAGGTGCAGCCTCATTTTGATATAGTGTCTCTGAAAACTAAACACTTAGGAATTCTTCCTTTTTCTTTCTTTCTTTTTTGGGTGGTGGTGGGCAGAACCTTCTTGTTCTTGGATGTCTGGAATTACAGATGTTATGAATTCTTAAATTTCAGTTCATTATACTATGACACTAACTAATTTTCTGTTAGATATACAGGATTGATTTCATTTTAAACATGTTTTCAATTGGGTAATGATCTAGCTATCAGATATCCCTAAGTAATTTTATTTCATAGACTATTTTCTTCTGCAAATTCTTTATATGGTTACTCTGGAAACTAAATCTAACACAGTTATAATTAAAACCTTTATGACCAGAGCCCCCAGATTTATATTCAGGGATCTTTTCATTCCCTCATATAAAATGTTTATTATGTAACAAGTTATAAAATATTTTTCTGGTCCCTTCTATGTGGTATAATTATTATGACTTAAATGCACAATCTAGTTGTCATAAGGCAGCCATTTGTAGGCATTTTAACGGATGTATTAAAGGGAGAAGTAGAGTTGGGAATGTGGGTCAGTGGTAGAGCCTTGGCCTAGCATGGGCAGAGCACTGGGGTTCAATACCCAGCACCATAAAAAGAAAAACAATAAATAACTAAAAGGGAGAAATAAGTTTGCACTAGGAAAATCCATATTAGCTCTATGAAGAAGACTGCTGTGGGTTTAAGTGAAGAGGAATGTGTAGGACTTCAAGAAGCACATAAGAGGCAAGCCATTCTAGATAATGGAAGATCCCAATATCATGCTAAATGCAGGAAAGACACAAAAATGTATTGGATACTTCATTATAATGTTATATTTTTATAATCATCTTCTAGATACATGTTGCAAGCTACTAAATAATTTTATTGACATCCTGAAGCTAAGATTTGTTCTAAACCCAAATATAACTAACGGGCTGGCCAGTGGCAGCCTGTTAGACTAACATGCTGGTCAACAGAAGATTTCACTATAGAATACTCTATGGTGATCAGCTAATACAACCTCTGGCTGAGGGATATTCTTCTGGGAGACTGGCAGAGTTTCAACAACTAATTAGGTTAGCTTATGCATTTATTTATTGGGTATCTTTTATATCCTAGGCACTATTCTAGGCAGTGGAAATGTGACAATAGATAAGATAAGCTGTAACTCTGCTCTCTTGGGGCCACCATTCTAGTATAAAAGCTGGACACTAAAAAAGGTGAACACACTGATTTCAAGACAACTTGTATTGTGATAAGTGATACGTAAAATATAAAACAGGTTGTTTTGATAAGGGAAGCAATGGGAGGGGCCAGTAGGGATGACTTTTGGGTTAGATTTCAGTGAAAAGACACATGGAGAAAAACCAGTAGGCAGAAATCATGAAGGAAAAAACCTTAGAAGCAGAGTAGAAATAAAAACAGAGAAGTGAACAGTTTGCCAACTAATAAGAAGTACTTGTGAGTCCCCAATACTACTTCTTGAGTCTGACTTGTATCATCCCTGTTATCTCCTGAATGTATGCATAAGCAGACATATATGTTCTAGCTGCCATCTTTATTTTGCTGTAGGATCTATCTATGGATTTACCCATCATCCAGTCATTTCTATACGGAGGAACAGATTGTTGTTGCCAGTTCTTAAACTCCTTAATATTGCCGTGAACATTCTTGTACACACTTTTTCAGGTATATGTGTGGGATTTTAGTATTTACCTGGAATTGAAATTGTTAGGTAGAAAAAGATGCTTATCATCATTGGTATTAAATATTGCTAAATTATTCTTCAAAGTTTGTTTATTTTTCTGATACCAGGGATTGAAACCATGGGCACTTTATCACAGAGCTACAGCCCCAGTCCTTTGTATTTTTTATTTTGAGGCAGGGTTTCACTAAGTTGCCCAGGTAGGCCTCAAATTGTTGATCTTCCTCCCTCAATTTCCCAAGTAGCTGATGATATAGATATGTGCCACAATGCCTAATTTCATTGCTTTTTAAAATAATAATTAAAAAAGTCCACTTGGCATTGTCAGACTTCAAAATTTTTTTCCAATCCAATGGGTACAAAATGGTATCTCACTGCTGTTTTAAGCAAGTGCTCTATCAAACTATACTTCCAGCCCCCCCGTTGTTTTGATTTATATTGCCTTGGTTATTAGGGAGATACATCTTCATAAGCTTATTGGATATTTGGGTTCCTCTTCTGAGTACTGATATTCTTTGCCTGTTTTTTTTTTTTTTAAATGACTGCTTTTTTAAATATTTTTTTTAAGAGAGAGAGAATTTTTTTTAATATTTATTTTTTTAGTTCTCGGTGGACACAACATCTTTGTTGGTATGTGGTGCTGAGGATCGAACCCGGGCTGCCCGCATGCCAGGCGAGCGAGCTACTGCTTGAGCCACATCCCCAGCCCCTCTTTGCCTGTTTTTTTTAACGGTGGTTTGACTTTCTTATTTTCGCGTAGTATTCTGAATACAAATACATCTTTGATCATAAACATTGAAATTATCTTCTCTTTTTATAACTTGTTATTTAATTTTGTGGTTTCTTTGGTTCTAAATAAGTTGTCCAGGTTGACCTGGAACCTGTGATCTTCCTGCCTCAGCCTCACAAGTTGCTGCAATTTTGTGGCGCTAGAGATTGAACCCAGGGCCTTATGCACGCAAGGCAAGCACTCTACCAAGTAAGCTATATCCCCAGTCACCATCTTTTTAATTTTTAACATTATGTTCTTCATATAAAAAAATTCTCATAGGTATGTGGATTTTTTTTCCCTGGGATCTTTGTCCATACTAGTGTATTTATCCATTCCTAAATCAATTATATAATAAGTCCTGGTAAGACAGGTCTTTCCAACTTCATCTCCAACATTATGTGGATTCTGCAAAAAACTGCGGAAGCATTTCTTTGACCTTAAGTTTTGGTATGAATTTCAATGTCATCTTAACAAGTTCCGTGAAAAATCTTGTTGAGATTTTAATTGCCATTGCATTGTATGTATTGATTAGTTCAGGGAGAATTGAGATCTTTGTAATAATTATTTTATTTATGAATATGGTTCATTTTTCCATTAATACAAATACATCTTTAAATGTCTTATACCTTGTTAGTTTTATTCATAGACACCTAATAGTTCAAATTTTGGAATATTAGATGTTACTTCCCCCCAATTGGAAGGAATGCATAATCTAGCGTTCCCTGGAGTACATAATTTTGTTTTCTTTTTTTGTGTTGGGGATTCATCCCAAGGCCATCCACACATAGCATGTGATTAAAAAAAATGCCTAAGTAGGGAAAACGTTGAACCAACTTCCCTACCATTATTGTACAACTCCATATCTCCTCTTTTTTTAGTTTAGGAAGTTTAATGTTATCCTTGAAGTATTTGTTTTGTGAATTACGAAGGTAAGTAGGTTCTTTTTTTGACAATCAGAATATAAATTTTTGCCAATGAGATAAACATTTTGAATGGTAATTGAGTCCAGTTAGGGGTTTAATTTACTACTAACAAATGTATTCACCGTGAACTAAGGTCAAAGTCTGAAATCAAATCCTAGTCTACTTTATTCCATCATAAAATAAAACTAGTAAGTCCTTTCACATTACTTGTAGGTTATCCCGTTTCCAGCGTTCCTTTACTAGGAGATATAGCTGTTGAATGACACTGACATTAAAGGTTTCATGGTAGCATTCTGTGAGCTTTCAGGACCCACTCAGGGATGCCACGACAGTCTTAGAGTTGCTGAATCTCAAAACTAATTTTCCTTCCATCCCTTTCATCTTCATCCCAGACAATAACCTGTTCTTCCAGACTTTGAATAACTCTCAGTATGGTCAAACATCTGACACTATATATAACACTTTAAATGTTGTAGTTGTTTACCCAAATATCTTAACTAAATCTGTCCCTAATATTGTGATCTCCATACGCTGCCAATGGGAAATCAGCTGCTAACGCAAACTATGTGATCCCAAGTACACAGCAGCTCCAGGATCAAAACGACCAAATTAATCCAGTCTGCCTAGACTCAGGCCAAGTTCACAGCCTTATCCTGGGGTTATTTCAGGACGTGTCCCTTGCTCCCCCCGTCCCCACCCCTCAAACCCTCAGCCCTAACACCCCTCAAACCCTCATGACCCTCCTGATCTGGGGAACCAAAGCTTTAAGGCCTTGCAGGGTTTGGCAGGGCTCCGACTCCTGCCGAGGGGGGGTGGGGGGAGAAGCCCGGTGTATTCCAGACTAACAGCGCTCTGGGGGCCTCGTGCCATCTCCGCGGCTTGAGACCCTGGGGCGGAGCAGCCATCCCATTGTGCCGGAGGTTAGAAACCCAGCTGGCTCTTGACGCAGCGGAGGCTCCGCCCCGGGCGTGACGCCAGCGTCAGGCCAGTCCCGGCAGCCTCCGCGGTCGACCGCGGTGGATCGCAGAGGAATTTTCCCCGTGAGCGGCCCGGGCTCAGTTCAGCAGCTGTCCAGACCCCGGTCGGCGATAGTGTTGCCTCCACCCTTTCTCCTACCGCCCTCCCGTCCGTTCGAGCGCCCCCAGCCCTCCCGCGAGGGCGCCCCGGGACGGAAGGAACCACCAGCCTGTCGGCGCCCGCCGTTCTCGTGGTCGCCGTCGCCGTCGTCGTTGTGGTAGTCTCCGCCGTCGCCTGGGCCATGGCCAATTACATCCACGTCCCACCCGGCTCTCCGGAGGTGCCCAAGCTGAACGTCACGGTTCAAGATCAGGAAGAACAGCGCTGCCGGGAAGGGGCCCTGAGCCTCCTGCAACACCTGCGGCCGCATTGGGACCCTCAGGAGGTGACCCTGCAGGTAACGCCCACACCGCAGCCCTGATTTCTCACATCCCTGATGCGGCCCTGGAGGTTTTCTCACATCCCTAGGACCCTCGGAACATCTCTTTCCCAGGCTTTTGGAAGTGACCCTGTATTTCTTCCATCACACCTAGGAAGGTCACTCCCCTTTTCTTCATCTTTGCTTATTAAGGTTGCCCTGAGAGCAATTTTTCTTTTTCTCGAAGCCGCTACGTAAGTGACGCACCCTTTCCACACCGGGAAGATTCCTGTTCATAGTTTGCCCCTCCTCCCACTCCCCTGACCATTCTCTCTGCAAAATGAACCTTTTTCATTCCTCTTGCATCGGGTCCTCGTCTGTCGTTTCAAGCAACCTCCTCCCATAAATAATGCAGTAATTAATCCTCTCTGATCTTTTCCTCCCTTCCCCCGCGATTTACTCCCTTTAATGCTTTATCCTGCATTTATCTTCCCCAGTCTTCAGATTGGCGAAAATTCTCAATTCCAGAGTAATAACCATGGTCATGCATTCTAGATCTGATTTTTAGTGGCACTGTGTACATTATTTTGTTTGAATTTATATTTCTGAATTTATATTTTTAATGTTGCCTAATATTTGATGTTAGAATGAGCAGTGGTTTGGGAATATTTCCCTTTCTTGAACCACTGTGTTCATAGACAAAAAAACCGAAAGAATTCCCTAAGAATCTAGGAGTTTTCTAATAACGTGGGAGATACCATTTCCTACATGTAACATTTATTTTCAATGATTTGTTTTTAGTATTTACAGTTTGAATTTTAGGATATTTTACCTGAAAATGAAGCTCCTTTTGTCCTTTTTCCTTGCAAATTAAAATTAATCAATAATTTAAAAGCTGTGATATTTGGGGTTTTTAGATCTGAGCAATAATGTAAGAACATTTATTTGAATTGCCAAATCATTTGCTTCATTTTGATGACTGCATGCAATAAATTGTTGAATTTGAATATTCAGAGATGTTTATCGATATAATTCTTCGCTAAAGGAGCTAGCTACCTATACAAAGATAAATAAAAATATGATCAGTGACTAGTTCCAAGAATGGTTCCTAACGCTTGGGCTTTCATAAGTTTTAGTTTCAGTTCTTATTGCCTAGGAGAGTTTTGAGCAGATTAAAAGGAACCATATGTTTCAGAAGAAAAGTTAGACAAAGAATTGCGAAATTTTTAAGGGAGTATTTTTTTGTCCAAGTATAAATGAATAGTGAATCCAAAATGATTTTTGTATATAAGTAAAAAAAAACTCACATATTTCCTTTAAGGAAATGTCTTCCATATTAAAACTTCTTTTTTTTTTTTAAATTTTTTGTGGTGCTGGTGATTGAACCTAGGGCCTTATGAATGCTTTGCAGAAAGCGTTTTAGGCAAGTGCTTTACCACATAGCTCTCATATATGCTTGTTATATATTAACTTCTTTTTAGTTTATTTTAGAAGTTTTTAAAATTTATTAAAATGATATATTTTATGGCAATTGTAAATTAAATATCTTTTATTAAAGGCAGTGCTATTTCTTATAAACTCTAGTACTGGAAAATCATGTTAACTTTTTAAATAGTGACTTTAAAATTGAAAGTTTTGAAGGTTGAAATTTCCTTTGGTGTATTTGTCTAAAGAATAGTAATAGCTATGGTGAAGTGCTCTGTGCCAGAGTGATATATTTAAAAAAAAGTTGCCCAAATCAAAATGATATTAGATAGATAAGATTTCTTTTTTTAGGTGAAACTTGGTGAAAGGTATAGGTAAACAAAAAAGAGGAAAGGTGATAGTAACATGAAACTGACTTTGATTGTTGGAAAGTAACTAATTACAATTGAATCTTGTTTTTGCTGTGGCAACTTTTAGCTTAGATCTTCTAAATTATGAATCTAAATTATTAGATTCATAATTTCATCTTCTAATATAATTATTTATAAGTGATGGTAAACACTATGGCTTGTTTTGTTCTAAGGATGATTATTAGAAATACATTCCTTCCACATGCAAGTAAAGCATTTGGTTAAGAAGCTGGGACGTCCATAAGATGAATTGATCACTGTTCATCTGTTAACTCAGTAGATCTGCTTTCTCACATTGTAGGTCATTGCAACTCCTACTTTAATGATGCTTCAGGATTTCTTTAGTCAATTTCATTGGGAATATTTTCTTTTGAGATTTTATTTTCCTTGAAGTATAAGGTCAAAAATCAGACCTCATATTTCAGAAGAGGAAGCGTGTATCACATAATCAACTGATTATAATGTAATTTTAGGACAGTTGGGTATCAGTAATATAACCTGTGGTTTTTCTGTTTTCTTTTTTCTTCCTGTGTTGAAGATCAAATCCAGGACCTTGTGCATGCTAAACAAGTGCTTATTACTGAGCTGTACTTCCAGCTCTAGCCCATTTTTTTCCAAAATAATTAAAAAATATATATCAATTTTTTTTAGTGTGGTGTGCATTTAAAATGTTTTAAACTACTTTAGAAACTTTCTGTAGAAAGTAATACTTAGTTTGTAAACTAGTTCTGCAGACTGGACTATCCAGAACAATCCTAATAACTAAACTATCAGAAATTCCAGAAAGAAGCAAAAAAAAAAAAAAAAAAAAAAAAAAAAAGATTTGAATGCAGTCAAAATGATGCAAGGCCTAATCTTTGCTCAAACTATGGGTACATGGAATAATAAATCTCATTTTTGGATAGAATTTCTGTCTTTACAAGAGTAAAGTATAAAAGGTGGATTTTGACTTTTGGATTGTAGTATCTGGAATAAGGATCTAAGACAATAATATCAGCCATCATGCTTTGTATTTAATAATACTTTATTGTTTATAGAACACTTTAACATGCTCTTTCTCAACTGCTCACTGAGGTGGATGTATACAAATATTGTTAATGTGTATTTTAGATAATGAAACTGAACTTGTGGTTTGTAAATGGCAAATCTGGAATAAGAACCCATTTTATGAATTACTGCTCTTTGACCAAGAAAAGGTTATGTTGATACATTATGATTAAGGCAAGGAAGCCAGGTCTGTATAAAATTAATTTCTTAAGGGGAAAAAAACGGCTTTTTTTTAAAGTTTCCTTGAGCGTAAATTTGCATTCCTCTTCCCCTATGTGTCACTATTTTAGAAAAGGATTATTTCAACTTTCCTTTAAGATAGTGATTCCTTTTCTTATGTAAAAACTCTTTCCTTTACTTACTTGAGTTTGGATTTTTGACTTTTCTGCATTTCTTTCTTTGGGTAGTCATTGTATAAAGGAAAAAAAGAATCAAGTCTCTTAGGTTCAACAAAATAATTCTTTTTTTTGGGTACTGGAAATCGAACCCAGGGATGTTCTACTACTGAGCTACGTCCCCAATCCTTTTTATAATCTTTTAAAAATAATTTTGAGACAAAGTCTTGCTAAGTTGCCCAAGCTGGCCTTCAATTTAAAATTGTCCTGCCTTAGCTTCTAGATTCCTTGGGACTATAGGAGTGTACCACTACACTTGACAGTAACAGAATAATTCTTATGATACTCTTAAAATTATTTTTCCTTGTAAAAATGTTGATAAATTCTTACTGTATGTTGTTTTAGGATCTTTCTGTTTGCCATATTGACCAATGTTATTTTTCTCATTGACTCATCTCTGTAAATTTTTTCATGATCTTGGTACCTATAGGACATAATGGCAAAGGTTTGCTAGATTAGTAAAACCAATATTATGTAACATTGTAAAACTAATGTTTATTTCTGCTTAGGATCCCAGTGAGATTGCTTACTATTAAGGTACATTTTATCCATTTAATTTTTTTTAAATATTTTATTTATTTTTTAGTTTTCGGCGGACACAACATCTTTGTTTGTATGTGGTGCTGAGGATCGAACCCGGGCCGCACGCATGCCAGGCGAGCGCGCTACCGCTTGAGCCACATGCCCAGCCCTTCCATTTAAGTTTTCAATAGCAAAATTTTAATAGTGGTAAAGAGAATAGAGTTTGAATGTAATGCTAATTTTGAGTCTAGACTCAGTACTTGATTTAACTTTCCTAAGCTTCAGTATCTTTGACTATAAAATGGACTCAATAACATCCTCTACCTCTGCAGGTGGTTGTGAGGGGGCAATAAATACTCTCAAGAAAATTATTTTTATTGAGTACCTACTATATATTAGAATTCTTAAATTAAAAATATCTGTTCTTTGAAATTCCCAATTTGATGGGGAAGGGAAAGACAAATAAGAAAATACAATAAAAGTCCTTTTTACATGAATATTCAAATGTTTTCATATGCAAAGATTACATAAGAACATTTTTTAAGTATTTTTTTTTTAGTTGTAGTTGGACACAATACCTTTATTTTATTTATTTATTTTTATGTGTTGCTGAGGATCGAATCTAGCGCGTTGCACGTGCTAAGCGAGCGCTCTACCATTGAGCCACAACCCCAGCCCATAAGAACATATTTATAAAGTGTACTGTTCTTTTGGCCATACTTGAGTATTTTCAGTGTAACTTAATATCAGTGGTTAAATCCAGTTTTTCTATTCCCTATTCCCTGGTTTTGGTGTCTCAGGATAATAAAGTATTAGGGTGGATGGTAACAAATACTATATTTATATAGCTAAGAGAGCTTGTATTTTCTTTCTTGACACTAGTTAAAAAAAAAAAAAGCTTCAGTGCTATTTCTGAAGGTGCAGATATTATACTTCCCAAAATCTTCATCTGTAGCTTGTTTTGCCAGTCTTTGACATTATTGGCCTCCTCTTGTCACCTATAATCTGAATGGGCTAGATCCCCACTCCCCAGTAAAGCCAAAACCTTCTCAGCTGGGAGGATAAATTTCATCAGGGAGTCTGGAAGTATAATTCTTGGAATTGGGGAATTAGTGGTTAATTAGAACAAGGGTTTTGAGGCCAGGCATGGTGGCCCATACCTGTAATCCCGGTGATTGGAAGACTGAGGTAGGAGGATCACAAGTTCAAAGTCAGCCTCAGCAATTTAGGAAGGCTCAAC